GGGGGTTATCGGAGGGTAACTCCCCATGATTTTTTCAAATTTTGTAATTAAAAACGAAAAAAAAAGTGCAACCAGCCAAAATAGGCATTTTTGTTTGTTATTTTGGAGGTTATTGTGAGGATCTGGGTCCTCGGCAGGCCTAAGGGGGCCCCGTTGCAAATGTGCCCGCCCTAAGTGAAGGCGGGCCTAACAAATCACAAGAGGCCCTCAGCTGCCAATTTCGTATTTGGGGTGTAGGCAGTTTCGCCGCGCCAGTTGGTTGAGAGAAACACAGGCCGAGCAGTGAGACATTCCACGGCCTTCCGGGCCTTTCTCAAGAATGCAGGCCCCGGGCGAGAATCGCAGCCTCATACACTGACAGTTGAGAGGCCAAACCGAACAAGGCCCAGTAGCTGCAAGCTTCTGGGCCCAGGCCCAGTCCAGCCAGGCTGCGAAGGCAGGCAGTCCCGTTCCATATAGGAAAGAGCTGGCCACCGGCAGCCTCATTCAGGCACTCGCATGCTAGCGGCAGCGCTGCTGGAGCGGACACTCGTGGGCTGCTGCTGGCGCTGAGAGGCGAGGTGCTAATGTGTGCGGCCGTGCAGGAAACAGGGCGCTGCTGAGGGCAGCGCCATAGCCCAGCCTCCATAGCTGGTTGGGCTTGGACTACAGTGAAGCGCAGGGGTGGTCTTCGGGTGTACAGAGGGAAGACGTGGGAGTAAGACGAGGGAGAGAGAGAGAAGGATGATGATGATGATGATGTGAGGGCACATACCCCAGGCTGGCATTGGCGATGGTCTGCATGGGCGACATCTTCGCTGCATTGTCAATTAGTAGGCAGACATCTTCGAGTACTCCATAGCTGGTTGGGCTGTGTAGGAAGTAGGCTGGGCGCCGAGCGCCAAGTAGGGAGATAGGGCCTGGACACTCATGTTGGTGGTGGCAAGAGCAAGCTCTCATTGACATTGGTTTTCAGTGTTACAAATCTTCATTGGTGTTATATTGGTGCATTTCTGCTTTCTGGACACTGTGATACTATCTGGCCTTCAATGTGATTGTGCAATCTGCTTATTGTCAT